AAGGAATTAATCTTTATAATGAAGTCACGTTAAAACAACTTTGATTTTTACAATATATTATACTGGAATCTCTACACAGTGAACCTCTACAGCGAATTTTTCTCTATAATGAAAATTTTTAAGCAGTCAAATATTTTTTTGAAAAAGAATAATTTTCTTGTTCTCTATATTTACCTATAACTTCAGCCAATCAAACAAAAATTGACAACTCTTCCAAATGAAATGAGTATTAGTTTTATATTATTATTTATGTTATTATAATTAAATTTGAATTATATACTTATATACTTATAAATGAAATCTCTAATAGTTCTGAACTGTATCAACTATTTAATGTGAATAAAGACTTCATATTCCTTGCGGGTGTCCGGCTTTTATCGGGACAAGAAAGAAGAAATTATTTGGTAGAGAATCCATATCCTTGCTTGAAATTTTCAAAGTTTCGAATATAAGAAAACTCTTAATAGCTGATATTGAAGGCCTCATTCGAAAGCGGATTATATTCTATTCAGTTAGGTTCGATCAACAGTACAAAAGAGCTGTCATGGTCGCATCACTCCGATAACAGCCAATATTCCGATAATAACTTATCTTATTGATGTAAACTCTAACTATTGATATATAGTAGTAATTGAATGCTATAAATAATGTACTTTATTATCATTATAACAAAGTATACTGCAGGTGCCAACAAATACATTATGGAGAGGTTCGACTACGTATGTGAAAAAATAATGGAAAGTTTTTATTACGCTTAGCTAATTTAAATAAAAATCTTATACTAACGTATCTTGCAACAAATCTGGCAATTGTCAGGTAATGAATTTAGTATCTCTGTCTGGATCTTATTCAACCGAATATGATCTATAGGCCTTAACCAACAAGAACTTTTAGGTAGCAATGAACCAGTATCCTTTCTACTCATAATAATGATAACACTAATAAAAGCTTGCAATATTATAAAGGATTAACCATTTTATAACTCTAATTTAGCATTATAGTTACAAATCCAATAAAATTATCATCCCATTGCCATTTAAAGTTTGCCAATTTAGAACATAAATCGTTTAACAACCGCTGAAATTGTTCAAATTGTCAAATCTTACAAAAAACTAACTTCTACTCACATCTGCTTTGGCATTGTGCAGGATATGTGAGGTCTGGGTTTAGCATTCTAACACATAGTTCTGTATAGGATCTTTGTGAGTTACAAAACTGTTCACTGAAGAGCATAGTGTGTTTTATCAAAGGTTCGATATGACTTCAAACTTTATAAGTTTTATAAGGTCACACGATAAGTAAAAACGACTACGTGGATTCCTAGAAACAGAATTTTAACCATACTTAAATACTTTTTATATAAGTCAAAAATTTATACAAGATATTAATAAGTATTATCATTAGTAATTATTTCAACTCTTGAATCAATTAATTTTCCCAAAAAAAATATTATTAATTCTTTACCTTAACTGTGAACTTAGTTTGCAACGATAAAAAAAAACTTCAACGATTTTATTATGTCCTTAAAAGCGTTTTAAAAACTTTGTTGTGTAGCGTTAAAAAAATTTATTGAAACCTAAATAAGTGAATAACCTTAAATCTTTATAGTTGAATACTTTACAAGCGTAGCTTTTATTAATTAAATTGTTGCTAATACTTTATTGATTGAATTTGCTATTTGCTATACATATATGAATATAACAATGTTTTACTATTTTAATGATATACTTCAAATATATTAATTATTAACATAGCTCAGACTAGCCAATTTACTAATAAAAAATCATTCAATGAATGGACAACATGTATGCATTTATAAAAGTACATAATTTTACATATATACTGACTGTTTTTTACTTTAATTTAATACAAATTCAAATACAATACAAAAACAATAAAAATATATATATATAAAAATATGTACATGTATTATTACTTATATACTATAACTAACTGACTAATATAAAAGAAAAAATATATATAGAGAAAACCGAAACAAAAAGAATTAATTGCTTAAATCTATATTAAATATTAATAATTTAAAAAATATTTATTTATTTTAAATAATTTTATTAACAATTGCAATACTCGTATGAAATAAAGTACTTATTTATTCTATATAAAATTTTTATTTTAGTACTTAACAGTACACACTCCAACAGTATTTTTACAAAAATAATAAACTGAGTCAAATTATTAATTAAACTATTATGCAAAAAGTTATTGTTAATATTATATGAAAAAACAAAAAAAAAAAATAAATATATATATTATAAACTCTTAAAACTTTTATTGAAATAAATAAAATGAATTTAAATAAAAATAAACAAACAAACAAATCTCTTCTCGTAAACAAACCATAATATTTTGGCAATGCAAAAGTAATATTATTTTAATTCCATGGAAACACTTGGCTACCAAGACAACCCATAGGTGAAGCCAGAGACACCAAAAACAAAAAATACCCAACAATACACACTTCACTTCACACCACACAGGGTACAGAATACCAGAATACACAGAAATATACAGTAGCGGTCTCTGCTAGTAAGAAAGAAAAACAAATTTATTTGTTGCCAACAAAAAGAAAAAAAAAGAAAGAACATTCACATTGAGTCCATTGCGCTACATGCTGGTTTCATTTGATATCACACCATGTGAACATCTGAACATTCCACACTTGATACTCGAATTTCGTCCATTTGGCCATAAACATTTTTAAATTTAAGCTAACACAACTCTCATTCAAATATCAAATATCAGATATCATACAAACTTATCCCAGAAACTAACACTGCCATGCATTTTGCTACATATTACGTATGCCATTAGACAAATTAAATCCAAACACACTTCAATTAAACTGAAATCTCTATAAAAAAATAAAAAAACTCTATAAAAAATTTATATTCATTCAAAAATTTTCTTTATTTCTTAAATTTTTATATATGATTTTAAAGTTGGACGAATTCCGTCTTGAAATACAAAGAAGGGATCAAGAAATATTGGCGATGGCGGCCAAAATGAAAACATTGGAAGAACAGCATCAGGTAAATAATTGGCCACAGCATTGGTGAAGATAAAAAACAATAACAAATTAGAAAAAAACATTTTAAATAATTTTTGTAAATAATTGAAAAACATTTACCCCCAATCCCCAATATTGTCTCTATCTTACTCCTGCTATTTTATGTATATTTTTAATAAAATAGGACTATCAGCGGCACATAGCTGTTCTCAAAGAATCACTATGTGCCAAGGAAGAACACTATAATATGCTACAGACCGATGTTGAGGAAATGCGCGCCAGACTGGAAGAGAAAAATCGGCTTATTGAGAAGAAAACACAAGGCACATTACAAACTGTGCAGGAACGTAATCGCCTAACCAGTGAACTGACTGAACTAAAGGATCACATGGATATAAAAGATCGTAAAATTAATGTGCTACAAAGAAAGGTGCGCCATAAATAAATCCAAATAATCCTTATATAAAAACCATCCTTAATGCTAATATCTAATGAATGTTTCATCAAGTCCAGTTATATATATTTATAGTAATTATGTGTAGTATGTTTAATATTTAAATGTATAGGAGTATTTTGCTAGCAAGTAATACTAATTCAATAGTAGTTCTATCCATTAAACTTTCATATAACTATTTTATATATTATATTACTTAAATCAATAATACCAATAATATTATATAAAATTCTATATTATGAAATATTAATATATAAATTAATAATAATAATATATAAAAAGTTTCTTAACAAAATGTCGTTATCAAATGATGCTGTCCGTTGAAACTGTTTTTGAATATAAAACATCCGAAAAACAACATATCTATACTACCCCTGCGATTATATTGTGTCTATATATAAATATGACAATCAACAACATTACTGGAATTAATTTTAAAGTCCATTTATGGCACTTGGCATTAAAAAGCAAGCATTATATTTACAATATAATACCCTGAGTGTCAAAGGCAGTAAATATTTTTGTCGCAATTTTGAAGTATGGTTCATTAAATTATAACGTATTTTTAAACCCAAGCAATATATAAACAATTCGGTTTTAATAAACAATTTAGAATCCAAAATTACTGATTGACAGATCTTAGTCTTTTTAATTTAAACTTCAAAATTTTCGACTCCAACCTTTGTGATAGATTCTGTTTGGATATCGGCTGCTTCCTATGACTACAGTATCAGCCGTGGGTCATAATATTTATCTTATAACACATAAATCATTATATTTATACATCAGATTAATTGAAATATTTTTTAGACGTTTGTTTTATTTTTTTCAAAAAGTTCAAACTTCAACCTTTCTAGATGGTAAATCTAGAAACTGTTAGGTTATGGGCTACTTCCAACGACAAATTTACACTATTACTGCTCGGGCCGCACATGAATTCGTCCATCTACTTAGGAGTCTCCTTTCCTGATGTATATATCCGATATCACTTGTATAGATGACCAGGGAATTGAAGTGATTTATGGTTCAAGTCCCTCTTAAATATTACGGACCATTTTATACTAGATATAATGAACTTTTTCCAAATAAATGATTCCATATGAAGTTTAAATTAGTTTCCAAAAAGCTTCACTTAAATGAGTCCACTACCTAAAGTGGTATTAATGATAAATAATTTGTAATACAAACTATTTAAATAATTTTTTTTGAAACATAATTTTGTAATAAATACACTATATATATACAATATATATATATAATATATACGTTGAAAATGATTATTTTCATAACGTATGAAGTTCACTAAGTACTTTCTATTTTACTGTTACTGACTAAAAACATATTAGTGATGAAATTTTTGCATTATTATCAACTTCTTTATTTTATCAGATATGGGTTTTTGAAAATATGAGAAAAAATAAGAAAATAATCTCCTAATAAATGGAATTTAAAACTTCTAAAAAAACATCAGCGACTTTAGGTCTTCTATTAAATATTAGTAGATATATTTCACCAAATATAAATATATAGATAATAATGTCATCTTCTATACATTATATAATTCCTAAGAGGACAGCAATGACTTTAACAATTTCTTTCATTGTTTATACTTCTCTTTCTTTTATCATATAAATTAAAGAAATTTTACAATATAAAATATTTGTTGGTCGAACTGCTCCATTTCAATTGAAAGTCCAATTCTCTAGTTCTTTATATACCCAATATTGCCCAACAATTTTTTCAGTTGAACTATGTAATACCCAATCAATTCTCCAATAAAGAATCCCACAAAATTATAAATCCTGAAATATACATAATTATTATACTCTCTATATAGATTGAAAATCTTGAAGATCTTTTAAAAGAAAAAGATAATCAAGTTGATATGGCACGTGCACGATTATCAGCAATGCAAGCACACCACAGTAGTTCAGAGGGCGCTCTCACAAGCCTTGAAGAAGCTATCGGCGATAAAGAGAAACAAATGACTCAATTGCGAGAGCAGCGAGATCGTGCCGAACATGACAAACAAGAGGAGCGTGAATTACATGAACGCGAGATTGCCGATTATAAAATTAAATTACGCGCAGTGGAGAGTGAAGTTGAAAAACTTAATACACGCCTTGAACGTGCAGTCACCGAACGTGAACGTCTTGAAATAAAACTCGAAGCCTCACAGAGTGAATTGGGTAAATCGAAAGCTGAACTCGAAAAGGCAACATGTGAAATGGGACGCAGCAACGCCGATTGGGAAGCGACAAAACAACGGATTGCACGTTTGGAGTTGGAGAACGAGCGATTGAAACACGATTTGGAACGTTCCCAGGTACTCGTGCACAAAATCCAATTTTACATTGATCATTACTTATAAGAGTGTATATATACAAAATTTAGTTAACTGTATATATCTATGTGCTTATTTTTTAGACAAAAAAAAATTTTTTTATTGTTGTATATGTACTCCATTAACATATTATATATATATATATATGTCCTAATTGTATATTTAAAAAAAACAAAAACCAATTACTATTTACATGTACACTTACTCGTTTACTCTACTACCAACCAACCAACCAACCAACCACCTACCTACCTATCACCTCTACTACTACTACTACTATTTTTTTGTACTCGCATATAACTACTACTACCAAATACTACAACCATTTAAATAGCTGCAGCTAGAAGAACAAACCTCACTGCATAAAGTAAGATTTTATCCTTTTTTTAAATTCTTACAAATCATAGTTTAACGTTTTGAATTATGAATTAAAAATAGAAATGAAATGTAAAATATAAAATATAAAAGATACGTAGTGTTGCCAGCAGGGAATAGCTTGATTAAACATAGTTTGTTCGTATTAAATTTAATAGAGAAAAAAAAATTAAAATAAGAATGGAAAAAAAGTCATTTACACTAAATTGCTTCACATTCACTGTATGTACTTTTAACTATTATTCTCTTAATATTACTATTATTTATATTTCACTATTCTTTTTTTGTTTTCTGTTCTTTGTTTTCTTTTTTTCTTATTTGTGAATACTAATTATGCCAAATGACTTTTTTTCTAATAAAAGAAAAAGCTTTTTCCGCACCATAGACAGCTTTTGAATGCTTCGAATAAAAAAAAAGTGAACTGTAGCAGGTTTTGAATCCATAAAAGTTCAAGGACATCTTCCTACATTTAATTTCATTTTTTTTTTTTGAATTTATTTTAATGAAAATGAAAATAGAATTTATTTAACATTAAGAGCTATCAAATTAATTTTGTTTCAAATGGACTCTTCAGAAGTCAATTACGTAGAGACAAACATCTTTAGAATAATCCAAACAAAAAGAACTCAAAAACTCTACCTTATGGTATTAATACACAAAAATTTAGAATCCTTTATACATAATTAGTAATTTCCTAATTTTTATTTAATATAGTTATACTCGTAGTTTAATAAAACAGATTTCAACCAGATACAATAAACTTTTAGTTTCGAAAAATTTATCGTCCATTCTAATAATAAATAAATAACACCTAAAGGAAAAGAAATACCAATACATCCTAATTTTTGTTTAATATAGTTATACTCAGGAAAATATGCTGATTTAAGGTCCGTCATCAACTAAAAGACAAATAAATGATATGTTTTTTTTTTTAGCTTAGTTAAAGCCTAGTGTGGGGTAGAGATAAGCCATTATAGAGTAAATTATAGAGTAAAAGTGCGTAATAGCATTAACTCAAGAAGAAAAAGAATCAAGAAGAATCAAGACTCATAGTTTAATAAAACAGAATCAAAATTTTCTTTTAAATACCTACAGGCTTGAAAAGAAATTTCTGTATTTATACACAGATATCCTTCTCCTTCTTCTTTCACTCTTTCTCTCTCTCTCTTTCTCTCTCTTTCTTTCTCTTTCAAACTCACACTCTCTCTCTCTCTCTAGCATTTAAATACCTACAGTCTTGAAAATAAATTTCTCTATTTATACACAAACATCTTTCTCCTTCTTCTTTCACTTTTTTTTTCTCTCTCTCTATTCTCTCTATGGACTCTGAATTAGTTTCCAAAAACCTTCTATTAAATAAATCAATGTTATATAGAGACCTTTTATATTATAAACTAAGCGAGTCCAATATATCTATTTGACTCTCACTAAACCGAATGAGTTTTGAAGTGAGAGGTGTTATAGCTTTATTTTGTATTAGTTTGGTCAGGAAACTTCTTCATACCGAAGAAACATCCTACATCAAATGCAAATCTCTATAAGGCTTGATCTTAATATTTGCTTTAAAAAATGCATAGTGGATCTATTTCAATAAAATGTTTAGCGACTCCATCTCAGAAATAGAATTCCAAATACTTTTGACGCTTAAACGCTTAAGTTCCATATCGTATCGCTAAGGTGGTGCCTAGTCATATATATGACTTACGATAAACCAGATTAACATAATATTACTTAATATATTTTATATGGAAATACAATATGTGCCTAAAATACAATTATAGTACACAACCATAGTTTTAAAAGATTTCCTACATTTTTTATTAAAGTATGTGACTTAATATACTTATATAGTGCAATAAATGCAATAATATATACAATAAAAAGTATACAAATGTATATAAATAAAATTGTATTGTTGTAATTTACTACTGTCAATGTACATCTACATGAAAACCGACAGCCTGCCCTACTTAGCGCTATCTAATCTCAGAGTAATCACTAACCGCATGGGCCGGTACGCAGATCATAGATCAATCATTGAATAATCATGAAGATTATTAGGAATACTCAAATTAGTCAGTGAGATGGGCGGGACTCTGCAGAATTAATAGTGCCCAGAAGCACTAACTCGAAAAGTCTTAACATAACATAACTACTGTACAAAATAAGAAACATATTTTGTAAAAAATTAGATGATGTGTAGTTTTAAAAAAGAGTCGTAATCAAAAAATTCTATCAAAGACAATAATCTTTATTACAGAATCTTTGTATCTATTAGTTATTTTTAACCAATATTATTTTTTGACCATAATCTTCGTAAGAGAACCCCTGTATCTATTAGTTATTTTTGATCAATATCATCTTTTTGACCATAACCTTCATTAGAGAACCCCTATACCTATTAATTATTCTTGCCCAACATGAAAGAAAAACCATTCACAAATGAGAATATAATAGAACTTTTTCGAGCCTAGAAATTACATATCATGAAATAGAGAGATATCAAGCCAACTCTGCTAAATTTATTTCCCAAAATATCAATCAATAACCATAATCTTCGTTACAGAATCTTTGTATCTATTAGTTATTTTTGACCAACATCATTTTTTGACCATAATCTTCGTAAAAGAACCCCTGTATCTATTAGTTATTTTTGACCAATATCATCTTTTTGACCATAATCTTTATTAGAGAACCCTTATATCTATTAATTATTCTTGACCAACATGAAAGAAAAACCATTCACAAATGAGAATATAATAGAGCCTAGAAATATTTTTTCGAGCCTAGCAATTACATATCATGAAATAGAGAGATATCCAGCCAACCTATTAAATTTTATTAGTCCTTTACGTAGTTTAATTAAAATGATTAAATTTTTAATATTTATTTTTTGTTTTTGTTGTGTTTCGTTACGAATCATAAATTTGAACACAAATGTCCTTTAGGTTCTATGGAAGGAAACACACGTATCAAAGCATTCAAAAGTGAAGCAGTCACAGCATAGAATCACGCACAGCAGCTTAATTGTATCTCAACTCTTGATTCTGTGTTTGACCTTTGACATTGCACTGCATACAAAATAGTTTCACTAATTGCAATTTATTTAGTATCACGTTTTATTGCTTCATTAAGTTTAAAACTACATTTGTAAATTGTAATGATCAACATTAAAAGTTTGAATGGTTTTGGTTTAATGAATTTTTGTAAAATAAATTAGCACTGCAGAAAAAAAAAAGATAAAACAAAACAAAACATAAAATCACAAAAATAAAAATTTTTAATACACGTTACTTTGTTAAATAATTATTAATATTAATTCAAAATTTTTAAATAAATTAGCAATCGCCAATATTAATGCACCTTTTATTCCCTGCGCTCATCTGAAATCAGTAGTCGAGCTTGGAAAATGTTCCGTGAATGCTCATTTTCAATTCATCTAAGCTAAGAAAGTATGCCTGAACTCAAAACAAAAAACAAAAAACTTAAAGAAATTAAACAAATTTAAAATTTACTATTAATTGTTTTTAAATGTAAAATTTTTCAGTCGGTACAAAAATTAATGTTTGAATCTGGCAAAATATCGGTAAGTTCACATTAATATTATATCAACGTTCCTTCATGCTAAGGTACTTCATACATCATTTAGAGGATTAGCCAATAACATTGACCATAAGTAGAAGAAAAGAAGAATAAAATAAGCAGCAGAAAATCAATAAAATAAGACACAAAGATCTATTCTTCTTTTTTCTCCGCCTTGGAAATAGATTCGTGAAAGAAATAAGATAATAGGATAAAGAGAAATAAAAAACAAATGAAAGAAAGACACATAGATTTATCTTTCTATTTCGTTAAAAATAAATGGACGATAGAAGGGAGGTTTTAGGGTGAAAATAAATAGAAAATAAATAAAAGAAAACCACAAAGATTTATTCTTTTATTTCATTCTCCTTTAAAATAAATAAGCTATAGAAGATAGAAGTGATAGGGTGAAAAGAAATAGAAAATTAATAAAAGAAAGACACAAAGATCTATCTTTTTATTTTCTCCTCCTTAAAAATAGATAGACGATAGAAGGGAAGTAATAAGATAAAGAGAAATAGAAAATAAATAAAACAAAGACACAAAGATTTATCCTTTTATTTCATTCTCCATAAAAATGAATAGACGATAGAGGGAATAAGGTAAAAAGAAATAGAAAATAAATAATAGAAAGCCACAAAGATTTAGAGTGAAAATAAATAGAAAATAAATAAAACAAAGACACAAAGATTCATCCTTTTATTTAATTCTCCATAAAAATGAATAGACGATAGAGGGAATAAGATGAAAAGAAATAGAAAATAAATAATAGAAAGCCACAAAGATTTAGAGTGAAAAGAAATAGAAAATAAATAAAAGAAAGACACAAAGATCAATCTTTTTATATCCTCCTATTTATATATCAGGTGTATAATTCAATTAAAAAATAAATAAAATATAATTAATAGATAAAAAAAAATTTTAAGTAGTAATATAAACTATATAAGTTTATAATTACCTCCTCAAATATTTTTTTGTATAGCTTGTTTTGAGTATTGATATTCTTCTATTTTTCTAATATATTTTGATATTCTTATACGTATATAATGCAAGTATTCTAGATTTGAAAGTAAAGGTTCAAAAATCCTACAATGTGAAAATAAGAAAAGATTGAACTGAAATATCATAGAAATAAAGTATAAAAAGAAATCAAATCTACAAGATTGTTCCAAAAATTAAACTATGTATGAATTAAAATTCAAATAGACGCTCAAATGTATATTCTAATTAAAAGTAAAATGTAGATAAGAACAATGTATATGAATAGACTAGGTTTATATTATTAACTTTTTAATATAAGCTCTAATTTGACATCTGTTATGACGGAAGTGACTATTTTATTTATTACATTATTGTTGATTTCTTACATTTGTAGGCCTCTATTTTATTCATCGTGACCGTCATATTTTATTTTTATTGTACATAGTTTTTGTATTTGCTAGTTGCTTCTAGTTTTTCTCTAGTGCTCAACTCAATTTAAATGTATATGCAAGTGTATGCATTAAGTAGGAAAAAGAAACATATAAGTAAAAAAAAAATGACTATGACACGAAAGAGGATGATAGTAGAAGAAGAATTTAAGAATCAGAAAACATGGGTGTCATAAAGCAGAAAATAGTTGTAGCGTGTTAATTATCAAAGCTTTTATTGAATCGAATGAGCTCTGGAGTCTTTAACTGATAGATATTATTACAGAACATTGACACATAAAAATTTTGAAAAATACAAAATAAAAGATCCGTACTCATGGATTGTAATTAATAAAAAATATCTATAGTGTCCTCATCATTGAACTATATGAGATCTAGAGTTCTACACCAACAGATATTATTAAAGTACAATAATTTCTTTGAAATTCTTCTTTGATTCTTTGAAATACAAAGTGAAGCATTCGTCCATTATATTCACTTGTGGTTTGTGATTGTCAAGGAAAAGTTTAATCACCTTTCAATAAACCGAATTTTGAAGTTTTGAACCGATAAATATTATAAGAAGTATCGATATAGCATATAGTATATAAAAAATATTAGATTTAAAAATCAAAGACTGTAAATTTGTAATAATCTGTAATTTGAGAGTTCCAATTAATAAAAAAAAATTATACAAAAATAGGTATGAAGTAAATCTGCGCAATAAAAGGGATTAAGAGTCATTGAATTGCTGATTGCTAAGAAAATTCAAAGAGTTGTAAAAGCGTTAAATGCACTTTAAACCGTTTGTAAATACCCAAATCAATTTTTTCATCACACTTGCATTTTTGTATAAACATTAAAATTGTATAATTTTGATTGATTTCTGAAAAAAAAATACATATGGAACACTTTATTTCAGAATTATTTAAAATAACACATAAATAAATTAAATTGGAATAAATTATAAATAAAATAACCATGAACATTCAAAAATCAATCAAAACGTAAAGATCCATTTTTGTAAATATATTTTTTCACATTTTCCTGCTGGATGTTTACACAAGTTTCGGTGCGGAAGTCACAGTTACACTCGCAACTGACTTCTCACCATATAAAATCGTGAACGTCCCAACTAATAAAATTTTTCTGCTCCACAATTAGACAACATTTGGCCGCACAACGATGACAACTTCGCAAGAACTCGATCGTGCGCAGGAGCGTGCGGACAAGGCTGCCGCCGAACTAAGACGTACACAGGCCGAGCTTAGAGTCACACAGGTAGGCTTTCCATTTAATCCATTCACCCAATAATGCAATATTTTAATTTATAGTGAACTTTTCATTTCATTTTATTTTACTATATATGTTTATATACCATATATATAATATATATAAAAAATATTATATTAATATATATTTTATGCAAATTGACATATAATCAATTTTTTACTTTAAAAGTGGTGTTAATATGATTATTTGAATGTAAAGAAAATTATACTAAAAATTCTAAAAATGCTTCTTGTTTTAATTTTCAAAGCATCTTATTCGTAATTAATATCAGTTTTTTACACAATATTACACAAAAAAAAATTAATTTATTTAAAATTATAATCGCTAAATTTAAACTTAAACTATTACATATTCAAATATTGGTCACATATACTGCTCGATATCTCGTACACTAATTTACATACACACCACCATGAAATTCAATTAACTTCAAAACTTCAAATTAATTCAATTTAACTAAATTAAATTAAATTAAAATTATTTAATTCGTTAAACACAGCTTATGTCAAAATCTTACACTCAGTAGAAAATCTGTTGCTAAATCGAGCCAATTTATATAGTCGTGTATATTCTAATTGTGTAAATAAAATTTCAATCATTTCAATATTTTTCTCAGTGTAATTTTGCTTGATTCAAAAACAATTTTTTTTTTCTAAAATTTATTAAAAAAGATTTTTGACAAAAGTTGTAAACTTAACTTTTCCTATTTATGATATTTATGTTTAATAATAACTTTTAATAAATTCTATAGTTTAGTTTTAGTTTGAAGTACCTGAAGCCCACAGGTCATTGGTCAAGAAATTAATCGAAAACAGATTGCCTTAAATCTCAGATCGTCACGATTAGTGCAATATTAATAATTAATTATAATTATCTAAAACTTTTTTAAATCTAAATTAGATATTTAGAATTACCAGTAGTTATTAGCGTCAGACTCTGAGTTAAATAAAACACGTCTGCGTACTTATGAGTGTCAAGTGTAACTAACCTTACATTTCTTTATAATTCTTACACTATTATACTCTGAGAACGTCATACTCATGAGAGCGTGAGTATTCTGTACTAATAATTGATCTTAGGTTAGGTTGGAATGGCGGCTACCAACGAGTTCCACATTAGGTAACGATAAACTAATTTGACAACTCTAGATACCTGGCTAATCTTACTCCTAATTTTGCAGAATGGCTGCTTACTGATCGGACTGATCAGTAAGCAAAAGCGCCACGAAGATTTTAGATTTTCTCCTAGTAAAAGATAGTCTAGGCAGGGCTATCATCCTTAGACCCATAATCGTGACAAATTTATTACAGGGTAAACCCAATCTTATAGCATGCCACAGCATGCTGAGAACCATCAGCACCGATACCGTAGTGTTAAACGTTGTTTGTCCAATTTAGACTAAGTTAACCCAGTGATCTGACAGTAGAATTCTTTTGCCCAGTTTTGTTTTGCTGCCTTGGCAAGCTCGTCTGCCTTAAATTTAAATTTAACTCATATGAGTTAAATCCTGACACGCTTAGCTAAATCGTTTAAGAAAGCTCGACATTCTCGAATAATAATGGATGTGACTGTAGTGCCTACTAGTCATTTAATATAATTGATCTTTCTAATTTAAGAAATATGAGTACACCATATAAAAAGAATTGTAATAGAATGTTGCTTTTAATAATAAGACACCTTCTCACATAATAAAGTCGTTACAAAATAATTTTACTTAAGCTTGGCATTTGATCTATCTTCTTAATAATAACTTCAATATTAGAACTATCAATTAAAGTCTTAAATGTTCAGATTAAGGCTAGTCATTTAAGAGTATAAATCGTCCAACAGCCGTTGGCATAATGATTTTTCGCTTTAATTTTTAATAAATCTTTCTTTTCACATATTAGAATGTCAATTAACAAAATACATGCATCAGCAATAGTAAAAAGTAGCTGTCGTGAAAACAAGTCATGCACTACACTCAATGTATATCTCTATATGGTATTTGGTCCGTAGGTGTGAACGGTACAGTACTTTTCTGGAAATTTTGACACTAATCATACGTTATAATCACTAAAGCTTTATGATTACCAATTATTTGTGAAATGAAATTAAAGGCAAGGTATTCGTATTAGGTCAATTATATTCAATATTCACAACCCACAACCTAAGAATTGAAGATATTACAACAATATGGCTTTATCTTTATTTTGAACGAGACACAGTACGAAGTAGTTCAGTTTAGAGTTCGGCAGTAGAAAAAAGGTACTGATTGATGAGAATTTTTTGGTCTATTTTATGGTCCTGAAAACTACGGATATACCTATGTGAGATTTAACATCTTATAAAAATATATCATGCACAGTTTCAGAGGATATATTTCGATATACCACAGAGCTACCAGAAAACCAAAACTAAAAACAAGAATCAACTGCTTAAAGATGTTGTTCATATTCTGTAGTCTAGTGAAAAAGTTGACATTAATACTCGTAGTCTTACTATAAAATTCATAAATTTAAATTTATCTTAACCGCTTTGCTAGTTAATGGTGCTGAAGAGGGAAAATTAAACTATGCAGGCAATTACCCGGAGATATAGACTTTATAACCTATAGGTGAATGAAGAGACCTAAAATTCTATTAATGGCTTTACAATCATAAAAATGTCTATATATAGGTTTATAAGGTAGGGGTAAGTGAGAAGACCTTAAAAATCTGTTTATGACTTTACAGCCATAAAAATCTCTATGTATAGAATAAAAAAAGTATGATCCTTTTTCATATGTGTACCTAGGTTTGGAAAGGAAAATTTGAAAGGCGGGCTGTAAGCCACGTAAAGACCTATGGCAACTAGCGATATCAGCATTTAAATATCTAATTTTGCAAATCCAGAGCCCAGAGTTGAACTCTGTCATTTTATGTCAGTAATAGATAGAAAATTAAGAGAATTATTAAGGCACGTTTTTAGTCCAGATGTTCATTGGATGATTGACATTCTCTTGTTATTATGTGCAAATAAAGAAAATCGTACTGTCTAATTTAGTCTAGTACTTCTTAATCTGTTATTAATAATTTTTGAACATCATGCCCAAAATAAATACTTTTTATTGATGCTGTGAATTAATTTGTTGTTCTTGTTCAACTTAGAACGTCTTATGACAAGGTTAGGTTAGGTTGGAGTGGCGGCCTTGTTTACCAAGAAGCGCACTTGAGCACAAATAATGGCCCGTTAAGGTACCACAGGAAAAGGCGATATTCGTATATAGACAGTATACGATCAACGCCCAAAAAAGGCAACGACTTCCCCATTAGGTGAAGGAAAACCAACCAATATTTTTGATCTCCTTTCCTTCTCGTCCTCAGAGCCACAACCGCGACAAAGGTCATTATAAGGAAGACCCAGTCTTATAGCATGCTTCCCTATTAAGCAGTGACCCGTAGTGCTGAACAGATAAAAAATGACAAGCTTTCACCACTTTTTTTTAATTTCTTTGATCAATGAAACTGTTGGGTATTTGGGTAATAAATAACTTAATAAAATTTAATTTAAATTTGTTTTATAAAACTTTTTAAAAATTTTTCATTTTTTATTTCCTTTAAACATTTTTAATGGTAAACTTTATACAATTTTAAAAATAACAAATGTGCTTACATTCATTTTTATAGGGCGAAACAGATAAACGTTTTGTGAGTAATTGCTTCCAAAATCGCAAACATTAAAAAATAAAAAAAAATCCAAAGTTAATAAAACCTTGTTTACATATTTACTCGTACATTAAAAAATAATATAAATAAAACATATGTACATTTTATTCAGCATATATAGATATATATATATAAAAGAAACATTAACAATAATTCCCAATACTTTGCAACAAACAAGAATCAAAATCATAATCGTGCATATTCAATTCTAATATGAACTCATTAAATTGTCATTTCAATATGATTTTGCGAATGCATTCTTATAATTTCGCCCGCTAAATTTGCATATAGCCTAAGTATATATGTATGTGTATCTGTGTGCGTGCTTCCATTGCAAATAATACAAAAAAAAAAATTAAATATATATGTATAATAAAGATAAAACCAATTTATCCGTTTGTACATATCCAGCTTTGGTTTGCTTGACAGCTGAAGTACACTAAAATGTTAATGGATTATTGATGTAACCCGAAAAGTTTGATTTGAATTCCTTTTGATGTTGTCATGTAATCCATACGTACTCGACCTGTAACAATGTACCACAATCCACACTCTATGTGTTTGAAATATACTTCAACCTTTTCATTTTGGTGTACTCATACAAAGTAAATCATTACGATATTTGCCTTAGGATATGCGCAAAAATAGAAAAAATTTAACTTTCCTTCATTTGCTTCATTTGCATTGTGCGGTTTCCGCTGTTAGTTCCAGCGATTTCAGTGCTACTTTCGTCATCATCCGAACTCACCTTCTCAAATCTGTGTTCATACATGCATTATCTGTTGCCATTTTGTTTCCTCTTGTCAAAAATGCATTATCGTTTTCATTATCATTTTTACATTTTCTACATTTTTTACATTACAAGCATTATTACTGGTACACAATGGTAACGCTGCAAGCGATGCAATGAGTTGCCACCTTACCTCAAACGAACAACAATACAAGTAAACGCGACTAGTGCTGTACTTTCAGTTGTTATTTTCGGAATAATAAATATTAAGCGTTCGATAACGTATCTTAGGGAAGTTTGTTGTGTGAAAAAAGAAAAAAATAAAGAAGAAAAAGCAAAAAAGAGAAAAGAAATAATCTTATTGAAGGTTATTTCCATTTTAATTTACGTATAAAGTTGAATTTAATTTTAAAATCTTAACAAAAAATATACAATAGAAAGTACAGGAAGAGGAACTACATAGAAAAATTGTGTTTAATATATTTTAGTAAATTTTTTTCCAACTTCATTATCTCATCTATAAATAAATTTCTTTTTAAAAGGGATAATCAATTTTTAAGACTGAGAAGTAAACGTCATTATACATTATTATTATTACTTTGAAGAATTTTGCACTGCAAACCTAGAGATCAATGAGTAGTATATTAGATTTGCCAATATGTTTGTAAGACAGAAAAGTAAACTTCAAAAAATATTAATGCAATTAATTTGATGTATATAAAACTGTGATCCAGAAATCTATTAAAGATATATTTGATTTACTTATATATTTTCAAGACAGAGAAGTAGATGTCAATAAACATTATGATTGATCATTTGAAGGATTTTGGACTGGAGATCTAGAGCTTAATAAATGGTATTTTAAATTAGTCGATGTTTTTTTAAATTAGAAAAATAAACATATTTTAACATTATTATAATCAACTCGAGGGATTTCGCACTATGATCTAGAGATCTAGTGCGACTCTTTTATGAATCAAAATATTTCTAAAGCGAAATTTCCAATCTCATTTTTTTCCACTGTATGGATTCAGAGTAAATCTTGAAGTACAGCTTTTTCAATCAATGGATTCATGGAT